CAAGGAAACTATATGATGGTATGGCAGCGGACATGTGGAACTTGGGCATTGTTCTCTATGGCATGGTGACCGGACACTTCCCCTATGAAAAATCCACCGTCAAAATCATATTGTGCCTTATCACCACCACCGTGTGCCCCATGCCAAATCATCTTATTAAACCTTGTTTTATCATCTTGGCAAGATTGCTCACGGTTTATATCTGGTTTGGGCTTACATCATCAAGGCTTGTCGACCGACCATTACTCTGCCATATTGAGGAAACATAACACCTGAAAAGGAAATCCTCCCCCAAGTCATGAAGGTGATGTGTCAGTGTTACACATCACAACATTGGCTACAACTGCAACGAGATTGTATCATCCCTATAACATCAGCAGTCAAATAACTTAACAGCAACCATGAACATCATCAAATTCAAACTGAGAACTGGGGAGAGCAGTCTGCAAAATATCATCCCTGCAGATGCTGTAGCCTCCCTGACACCATGAAGAGGAGACATAGCGAATTGGCTCTGCTGATCAGATGCAAAAGCAATGCAAGGCTACACACCACACATACAGGTACCCAGAGGAGAGGCACTACTCAGGTAACAGGGTTCCAGAAAAAGAGTCATTGATTGTCAACACCAACAACCCTGCTACAAGGGACAATGCATTAACATGAATTCAGTGAATAGCCTGTCGGAAATCAAAGTCCCAGAAGAAGATTCATTAACTGCCAGCACCATCAACCCCACTACATGGGACCATGCATTCAACATGAATTCACTGGATAGCCTCTCTGATAAAAAAGTCTCAGAAGATTCAATGACCTCCAACACCATCAACATCACTACCGGGGACAATGCATTCAATGTGAATTCAGTGGATAGCCTGTCTGATAACAAAGTCCCTGAAGATTCATTGACTATCAACACCATCACTCCACTACAGGGAACAATGAATTCTACATGAATTTAGTGGATAGCCTCTCTGATAATTTCTCTACCCCTGAGCCACATCTGAATGGGAAATGCATAGGGTTTGTGAACAGGACATTCACTGAAGGGAAAACGGAGTTAGTCAGGACCAAGAAGCACCCCCAGGTTGTACCCACAGCCTCTGGCACCAGGCCACATGGGGCTGGAAGTTGATGAAGAAGCAAAATCTCCTGTGCACTCAGAGCACTGTGCTGCTGCCTGCCCAGACCACGTGGGCAAACGGAAGTGGCCTAGGAGAATTCCAGCCCTGGTAACGAGTGCCTGCTGCAGGAGGGAGCCAGGACAGATGCTCAGTTGCTTGGCCCTAAAACCCAGGGCAACAGGCCCCTGCGTCCATACTCCAGCTTCAGGTTCTGAGCTGCCAGTCCATTTCTCCTTTAGCTTACTGCTGCCCAGGCACTGCTTGCCAGATCCAGAGCTGGACAGAAGGCACATCTGCCCAGTGAGCCTCTATCTCCCCATCTTTGGTGGTGTTTTTAGGACCAGTACCCACAGTGCCTAAAACAAATTCCTCTCCAATCTGCAATGACTTGGATGCATAACTCATGTCTTATCATCTCGGTCACTCCATCCTCTCCAACTTAATTTGGGACTGTCTTCTGGACAGAACTGCAAGAATGCTCTTAATCCATCCAGGGCGCGGGTGTTTCCTGGCTATTTCAATCCAACTTCCTTGCATTCTTTTGTCCAGGTCACAAAAGATTTACAAATTTCATCTGACTGTATTTAACATTGTTCTGCTCTAGTGTGGCAACGGCACCTTCTCTATAGGGTTCAGCTTTCTTAGTCATAGAAGTCTCCCTATAGAAAATAAATCCAGGTGTCCCTTCTGTGTTCACACTAGACCTGAGAAAAACCTACTTACAATGGGTCGGGAACATGCATCCCTTTAGATTTTTCTGCAAAAGAACAATGTCTGAAGACACTAAGAACAGCACTCCCTGTGCCACACGTCCTCATGAAGAATGCAGACATTCCTTCTGAGCATTGGAAAGGAGTTCCACGTCCTTGGATCTCATTGAGTGGGAACAAAGTGTGTAGATTTGGAGTTTAGTTTTTATCTATAAGAAAAATTTTCTTAGTAGACCTTAGAAATTCTCAAGTAAGTTCAATTTAAATAGAGAAAGTAGTACATATATGATTTCCCCTCTGTTGATAGTTTCCTTTTAATATTAGACACTCATTTATAACTTTGAAAGCTCTACATAGACAATCAAATTTAATGAATAGCTCAAAACGAGAGAAGCTCCTGGTTCAGATGTTCAGGAGAAACTCCAGTCAGCCTCCCCAAGCCTCAGTTACGCTGCCAAAAGGAGCCAACATGAGCATGCATGGCAGGAACTTCCTCCCTGAGCCAACCTAAGGGCTGCTGCTATATCCAGAGACTGCTGACCAAGAGAAACCTGACCAGAGATGCCAATGAAGGAAGGACAACATAGCAGAGTTGGCCACCTGAGCCAATGGAACCTTGGGATGGGATATGAGAGGCCAGCCTCTCATATCCCTTAGTAAAAGCGTTGGCTTCTTGTAGTCACCTGACGTCCAGAGTCTATATGCCTGACCCCAGGCCTTCTTGCCCCCTCCCACAAGTGGTGTCCCTGCAGAGTCACTGCCAACACAGGTTGATCTTGGCTCAAATTTCCCTTAATCTCTCTCCCTCCTTCTTCTTCCCTTCCTCTGTATTTTCTTTTGTGGCCTCTACTCACTGGAGGCTCTCAGGAGCTCACCATCTCAGACTTGTCCTGGTTCACTAAGAGCCCAGGCAACATCAGCCTACTCTGTCCTCCCAGGTCACCTATGAGAAGAGGATATTTAGTCCCTGTCAACCTTCCAATAAGTCCTATCACTGAGTGTCTTCAGCTCCAATTGCCCAGATTAGTCACCTGGCTATTGTTGAGCCAATCACTGTATCCTAGGTAATTTGAGGCTCTGATTGGCCAGGCTTGAGTCATATGATCATGTAGGCTGAAGATGAAATTAATTTCTTTAGAACCACAGACATTGGGAGTTAAGGCAAAGCAAGGGACAGGAAAAGAAGGACAGTTATCAGATGTAGGTGCAGGCCAGCTTCCTACCAAAGAAGGGAGCAGTCACAGGACACCTGTCACAGGGACAGAGGGCTGAATAAGTTGGCATGCTGTTCACATCAACTCCACTGGGAGACTGACACAAACCTTTCTGCTCAGAGAACACTAAAAATTTCTCTCTTTTTTTAGAATTTAATTTCACATGTATGGAGTTAGCAGAATAAATGACCGTCAATTTTCTCCTGCCAAGTGTGTCCCAGGCTTTACTTTGGCAACAACAATATACACCTGGGGAGACTAGGGGCTCTGTCACATGCTTGTAGCTCTGCCTTGAGCAGCAGAGTTTCAATTTAGGCCACAGTTATCACAGTTTTCTTCTCTAGCTAACCCAGAGGGGTCCTTTGTGACCACACATGGTTTAAGAACTACCCCTACTTTTCACTTGATAAAATCTCTTGTAAAGATGGGAGGTTTAAGAAATCAGATCTGTGAAGAAAATCCAAGGAATAGAATTCAGTGGGCCAGGATGACTATGCTAAAACACACAACATTTAATGAATACATTAATTATTCATTAAATAATAATGAATGATACATTTAATGAACTCATCTCCCAAGAAAAGGGAAAAAAATCAGCCATTCCTGAGGTCAGCTGAGGATGGAATGAAAAGCAATTCAGATAAAATAAAAGCATTAGGGAATAAAACATGAAAGACATCTTTGTTCAACCATGGCCTAATTTTTAGTCTCTTATTGTGAGGCTCCTGGGGGAAGCAGAATAATGTAGTCTTCATCTTCGGGTGGCAGAAGATGGACACCACAAAACTGTTCATACAGCACTTTGTGAAACAGGTTCTATGCTTTTTAGAGTTGATTAATGGCTAAAAGTGTCTCCATTATCTACAGGATATCACCAGTAAGAGTGTTTGGGATGGGAATACCAGATACCTGACTTTATTGGTTGAAATGAATGGGGTGTGGAGGGATTGCTTTCCTTCATAACAAAATTCTAAAGGAACCACCTGATAGCCCTGATTTGCTGGTCATAATTTTGGATTTTTCTTCAAAGTTTACAGGATGGCTACTCCAACAGCAGGTACCATTACCAACTTACTTCCTTCTTCTATGAAAATTGTAGACCTGCATGCAAGTCCCCAACACCAATGTAATGTCAGAATCATTGGTTTGTGAATCTGTGATTCCAGCACTCCTACAGCAAGATGGGAGGTAGAAACAGGACAGTCACAGCAGATCACAGACCACTACCCTGTATATACAGTGGCCATGAAACCCTGTCTCAAACAATTGGAGGACAAGGACCAACACATAAAGTGGTCCTGTGACTTCCACATGTGTGCTTTTGCATACATAGCTCTGTTTGTATTCACATATATTGTACATATGCACCTTCTCTCTATGTATGCCTCTCTCTGTGTCTCTGTCTCTGTTTTTCTTTCATACATGTACAAACATATACAGACACACACAGACAAACACAAACACACAGGAACACACTAATAAAAAGCAAAGAAGTAGACAGAGGAAGAGGAAACATGCCATCAGGAAACTTCATTCTGCCATGGTGAGCTTATGTTTTGCTTGTCACCTTCATGTGCAATGTGACTCAGGAAGGTGTGAGAATGTGGTTTACCAGTTCCATCCACAGTAGCTGCATCACCTCCAATACCCACCTGTGAACAAGGTGTGGACATGTATTTTCATAGCTAGTGTTCTCATCCCAGGAATTATCTAGACCACTACTCTCTCAACTTCAGTTTTTCCAGGAAATTAACCATTCATATTTGGCCCTTTCACTTGTCAGAATTCTCCAGAGGAAGAGTTGTGCATGGAAGAGATTTACTTATCTTTCTTGCTATTAATATTTTAGACAATAGTTTAATTCTTATTAGTATCTTGCTAATGTGTGTCTGTAAGTTCTGGAGATCAAACCCAGGACATCAGGCTTGGTGACAAGCATCTTTACCTGGTGATCCATCTCACTGCCCCTGAAGATTTATTGGACTGGGAAAAGGTTAACAGAAGTGCTGGCATAGTCCAGCATTGACAACAGACATGCCCAGTGTAGAAGCTGGATGCCTCAACAGTTCCAGTCTGCCGCTGGATACATAGAATCTCCCTTGCACTGAGTTCCCATTGAAGGAAAAAGGAGTTGGGATGATGTCCTTGGACAATTGCTACAACACTGGGCAAATTCCTCAAAAAAGGAGCTTGCACACCCAAGTCTTCCCCTGCTCTAATCTCCTCCCTGGCCTCCCAGCCTTTGGATGGTACCATTCACAATCAGAGTGGGTCTATTGGAGTCAGTGTACAACATGCCAACCCTCTGAAAATTCCCCTACAAATGCACAAGTGTGTGCTACCCATCCTAGACACTCATCCAGCCAGGTTGAGAACCAATACTTCACAGTTCTGCCTGTTAGCTTGACAAATGCTTACGTACAAAATCATGGTGGCACTGATTACCCCAGGAAAGATCCATCCACAGGACTGGACACATGCTCTGAAGTCCTAGTAATCTGAAGACCTGGTTCTGGTGCTGATCTTCTAGAAAGTCAGGTGGTCTGGGCAGGCCAATCAGCATCCCTCCACAAGGCTTCTGACTCAGAGAGAGAAAGATCTCCCCCATTTTTGGTAGTAGATGCACAGGCAGGATCATCTGGTAGAGAAAATCAATCCTTAGAAGAGAAAATTGAGGGTGGGATGTTCAAGAACTGCCTGTGGTAGACAGCAACCCATGACAGACAAAAGACAGGCTCCACCCAGGTCAGAGTGGTGAACCAGGAGGTTCCCGGGGTTATTTATGGGAGCTAGGAGGATGCACAGACAAAGACAGAAGGTTTCCATGGGTGTCATGCAGGCAGTTACACCACTGAAGATGCCCCACTCTGAAACCCCAGCAGCTGTTCGCCATTTAAATGACCTCAGAGAAGGAGGGTTTTGTGGGCCTCTCCTCCCTCCTCAAGAGAAAGGGAAAATTGCATGATCTTGTGAGGATTTTCTTTTTCGATCAGAACAACTTCTGTGTCTCCATATGACTGAATTTATGTTCAAACCAGAGAAAATAATCACGGTACCAAAGCTCCCATCATACAGACTTGAGAATTTAAGAGAACCATGGAGAAAGCACAAAGGGCAACCTTGTATCTGATTGTGAATGGACCCTTGCAGTCCCAAAGATCCCACTTTTGACCAGCTGGTATTAAATTTCCTCCCACTGTGGATAAGAGTCATGATTGTTTCAGAATTTATACAAACACTACAAATGTAAGTGCAACTGATGTGAAAATGAGGGGAGAGGTTGTCACAGGACAGGAGGCCATGCAGAATGCATTTATGGTTCTCAGTGCAGTTGGTGCACTTTCAATGATGAATGCAACATGTAACTGCAGTGATGGAGGATGGTCATCAGTCTATGTGTTAATCTCATTGGTTAATTAATAAAAAAAAAATACTTGGCCTGATAGGTCAGAATATAGGTAAATGGGGAAGACAGAACAGAATGCTGGGAGGAAGAAGGCAATGAGGCAGACGCTGTAGCTCTCCTCTCCAAGATGGACGCAGGTTAAGATCTTTCCTGGTAAGCCACCACCTCGTGGTGCTACACACATTAATCAAGATGTGAGAGTTAGCCAATAAGAGGTTGGAATTAATGGGCCAAGCAGTGTTTAAAAAAAACAGTTTCCGAGTAATTATTTCAGGGAAAGCTAGCCAGGTGGCAGGCGGGAAAGCAGCCTCCCACTCCTTTAACACTGCAGGCTTAGTTAGGCTTTGGGAATCACCCTGTCTTTCTCCAAGGTTGTTAAGTATCCCTCGGACAGCCTGCACATGTGGGATACCCTGATGTAGTAATTGTGTACATTGTGGGCTACATTACTGAAAGGACTTCATACAACATCCTGGTCCAGTACCTAGAAGGGAGCCAGGAAGTATCTCTCATCTCTGTGAGGGCTGTGTGGGTGTGTCCTCTACAGCTAACCACTTGGGACTAACTGTGAGTTTTCCATGAGGCCAGGAGTCTTCTGTGATTGGACAGTATGGACAGAGTCTCCAGGGAACACCTCTTGACTGCCTTATAAATGTCTTGTCTGCACCATAAAGGGGTTGCTCTACTAGATTGTTGGGACTTCCCAAGTGTGGTTGCTGAATCTGTTTCCCATCAAGAAGAATGAAACCAATGGCTACTCCAGTCCCTACACAGACCACTTAGAGACATGGACATAGAGACACCCAGGGCCACACAGGAGGCCAATTGCAGTCTCCTTGACTCAGAGACATGCAGAGAAGAGTGTATATTCTTAGATTCACTGGGAGATAACATTGAAAAACAATGTGATATTCATATCCAAGGTGCAACAGGAAGGGGTACAATGTCCATGCGAGAGGGTGATCAGATAAGAGATGATGGACTCGTCCCTCACCCCTCACACCAATGAGAGCAGTGTGGTGAGGAAGCTGTGGAGTAGAGTGAGTCTGGTCACTTCTTCCCCACAGCCATGGCCAGCAAAACCACCATGATCCAATGGCCAATAGTAACAGGCAGAATTCTCAGTGTTCCCACAAGTTAAGGAACTTGGGGTATCTCTGTCTAAAGATGGAACCTACAGACATCCGTATCAAGGTTCTGATGGTTTCTAAGAGCACAGGCCTCTCATTCACTGTCAGGCTGCATTTTAGTGAGCTGTTACCTGAAAAGAGACCGAGCACGTGAGGTGTCTGTGTATCTGTGTTTCTGCATATGCACTGTGGCTGCGTTCTGCTTCCAGGGCTGTGGTCAGAGTGGCACAGTGAAGGCTGGGACGTGTGTGACCCACTGTGTCCTTCTAGACAAACACACATTCCTCTATTCTAACCACAGATGTCAAAGCCTCCCCTTCTCAATACCTGCCTTTATCAACCTGTCTGTGATGAAGTAACAGGTCTCTGTGTATGTACGTGTGTGTGTACGTGTGTGTGTACGTGTGTATTCATATCTCTAATTGCAATACTTTCTGTAGTTAACCTTTTTACCACCCCTCCCTCACCCCCAAAATCCCCACTAGAAAGTTCTCCAGGGACTCTGGATGTTTAGCTTCTGCTTAGTAGGTGTGCTGGATAGTTTTATGTCAACGTGATGCATGCTAGAGTTATCTGAAAAGAGGAAATCTCTGTAAGATTTAAGGCATTTTTAAATTAAATTTCATAGGTGGGTACTAGCCCATTGTGGGTGATACCGCTCTGGGCTGGTGGTTCTGGGTTCTATAAAATAGCAAACTGAGCATGCTATAAGGAGCAAACCAGTAAGCAGCACCCTTCTATGCCTCTGCATCAGTTCCTGCCCAGATACTGCCCTGCTTGAATCCCTGTGCTGACTTTCTTCAGTGATGAATCACAAGGTGAAAGTGTAAATCAACAAATCCTTACCTCTCATAGTTACTGTGGTCATGGTGTTCCATCACAGCAATAGAAATCCTAACCAAGGCAGTACGTCATCTAAAAGTGAAATGTTTTCTGGAGATGTGGCTCAGTGGCTACAAACTCTTGCAGCATAAGCATGAAGACCAGAGTTCTACTCCCAGCATTCTTGTAAAACCCAGGCGTGGAGGTGAGCATCTGTAACCCCAGCACTGGGAGTGGAAACAGGTAAGTCTCTGCAGCTCATCAGCCAGCAAGTCTAGACAAATCAATGAAATCCAGGCTCAATGAGAGACCCTGTCACAAAAATAAGGTGGCAATGGAATGAGAAATAAGCCAGGCTGTTCCTTGACCTACCTGGTTTATCTCCTTTAGAATCACTTAGTAGACAAGCCTCTGGGTGTGCTTGTGAGGGAGTTCTATGTTGGGTTGATTGACAGGTAAAACCCACTGTAAATGTCTCTGGCAACAGTCCATGAACTGGAGACCTGAGCTGAATAAAAGGGAGAGATGATTGGAGGACCAGCATCCATGTCTCTGACTCTAACAACAGATGCAATGTGACCAGCTGACTGAAACTCTTGCCTGCTGTGGAATAAGCCTTTCGTACATTGGAAATATTTGTCACTCAAATAGATTTAACTGCAGTCTTGAACTGTGAGCTGAACCAAACCTCCTTCCTCAGGTTTCTCCCTCTGGCATTTTGTCACAGCAAGGAGAAAGGTAACAAGTGCCCCTGCCTTGTGTGCAGGCACACACACACATATACATGCACACACACACACACACACACACACACACATACACACACACACAAACACACACATACACAGATGCAGGCGCACACACGTGCATAAACACACACACATACACACACATGCAGGTACACACATACACACATGTAGGTACACACTCACACATGCAGGCACACACACCCTTCAAACACGACAAAAATAGTGTCGGAATATGAGAGTATAAAGACTTCCAAGGTACTTTCCCAATTGGAGTGATTCAGAGCACGGTATCATTTAGGAGCATGTAGAGCCCTGGTGCATGATGGGGCTTGCAGGAATGCTCTGGTTGCTGGCACAATTGTCTGCTGCTCATTTGGCTTCAGCCAATGGGACGAATTCCTACAACCTGAGGAACACTGGGGACATCTTTCTCTTACTGAGACCTGAGATCCTGCTGTAGAATATTATTTTAAGATGGGTTACATTTGTTTATGTTGAGGAACATTTGTTTAATGATCCAAAGATGTGCTGCATTCTTTTAAGTTGCATTTGTTTGACTCCGTGAAGTTGTATTATTTTGCCTGTCTAAATCACCTGATTGATCTAATAAAGAGCTGATTGGCCAATAGCTATGCAGGAGAAGGGACAGGTGGGGCTGGCGGTCAGAGAGAATAAATAGGAGAAATCTGGGGAGAGAGATCAAGAAGTAAGGACAGGAGAAGGAGAAGAGGCTAGTAGGGGCCATGAATTCCTGGATGTGCCTGAAGGTGAACCTGGAATTTCTCTTCAGTCCAGCATGGCTAGTGCAGGTGTTTGTTCCCCTCCCCCACTGCTGCTCAGAAGTTAACAAGAAAATGCAGAAGCTTCTGAGCTTCTCCTCCAGCTGTCCAGCTTCTCTTCCAGCTGACTCCCTCCTCCCCCATCCCTCAGCCTGTTTCCTTTTAAGGCTGTCGTGAAGACTGCTGGGAAATAAACCCCTAGTCCCCTGTCCTTGCCCTCCCTATGATCAACTGGGAACAACTGGAGCTCTAAGCAATTGCCCAGAGCTATTTTACTCAAGTTTATTTCTGCTCACCTGTCTTCAAGTTTTGTGTTTAAGCATTGTTCTTCTCTCTCTCTCTCTCTGGTTTCTGTTGTGTCTAAAACTGCAAAAGAGAGAATAAGTATTTTGGCATACAAATTCCTGGGCACCTTTTATTAGAAAGCTGATTTGTGAATTCAGTTATGTATTGACACTTATCAAGTGATTCTTATGAATCTAATTAAATGCTAGTTTTAGGACTCGAGATATAGCTCAGTGGTTAAAAGTACTCACTGCTCTTCTAAAGGTCATGAGTTCAATTCCCGACACCCACATGGTTGCTCACAACTGTTTAATACCCTCTCCTAGTGTGCAGGTGTATATACATAAAGAGCATCCATATACATAAAATACATTAGTAAGAAATCTTTTTTAAAAACCTAAGTAAATAAATGCTAGTGTTTTAAAAATACAGCTTTTTGACCTTGAAATTAGTATGGTCTGGTTTTGGCTCAACTTTTGCAGAGCCTTTCCCAGAAATGAGTTTTGTGAACTTCAGAAGTAGAGGATGTGTGTGCAGGTATGAACGGACCAACATGGGATCTGAGATCCAACCTAGGGTCCTCTAGAAGAGAAGCTAGTGTCCTTATCATCTGAGTCATCTCTCCAGATCCCTTGTGTATATGTACATGTATGAATATGTTCATGTATATAGTTGTGTGTGTGTTTGTGTGTATGTACAGATTCACATGTGCCATTGTGTGTGTAAGCCAAAGACAACCTCAACTGGTGAGCCTCTGTTGCCATCAACCGTGTGTGTGTGTGTGTGTTTGTGTGTGTGTGTTTGTGTGTGTGTATGCTCACTTGAAAAGGCATGTGCATGCATGGGAGGAGTGCAAGTGTGCCACAGTGCTCACGAGAAGGTCAGAGGGCGCCTTCAGTCACTCACTTTCCACATTGCTTAATCCATGGTCTCTTTGTTATGTGCTTCTGTAAATTAGCTGACTCCCAAGTTTCTGAAGAGTTTCCTGTCTCCACCTCTCCCTTTCTCACAATAGGATCTCTGAAATTATAGGCACACCCTACTGTGTCCAGCTTTACATGAGTTCAAGTGGTTTGAACTCAGGTTCTCCAGTTGCTTGCAAAGCAATTGCTTTACCTACAGAGCTATCTGCCAGTCTGGAAAAGACTGTACTTGCCTTAATATAAAGGAACCTATATCTTATGAACCTCACTGAGACTCCCTAGAATCTTGTATGTGTGGACAAACTCTAAGGTGTATGGACCATGTACAAATACTGTGAATTTGGTGGCAAGAGAGATGGCACAACGTTCTGGTTGTAATTGGGAAGTTGGGTTCAGTTCCCAGCACCCACATGTTGACTCACCAATTTCAGGGGCTCCAGCACCCTATCTGACCTCTTCAGGTACTTGACACATGTGGTTCACAGACGTGAATGAATGGATGAAATTTAGCTCTGGCAAAGCTGAAGCATGCATGGTCAGCCCATTTATGGCCGTTCTGTTAACCTTGTTCATATTGGGTTTAATGGTCTAAGTTGATGAGGACCACTGACTAGGTCTCTTGCTCAATAGGGCACCAGATCTCATTACAGATGGTTGTGAGCCACCATGTGGTTGCTGGGACTTGAACTCAGGACCTTTGGAAGAGCAGGTAGTGCTCTCAACCAATGAGCCATCTCTTCAGACATACATGCAGGAAAACACTTGTAAACAAGAAGTAAAATATACAAACCTTTAAAAGAAAAAAATAGTCTGATTTTGTCTACAATTTTGCATAGAAATTTGCCTGTGTGTTTATGACAGTCATGTGCACATAGACTGAAAATACTCTCCTCTCCAGCTATGTCACCCTCAGCTCCTGTGACTGCTTTCCAGCCAATGACACTAGCCTTTTGTCACATGCTAAACTCAGAGCTGCAGGCTCCAAACCCAGCCACAAGAATTCTGACTTGAATCCATGAACATTTTTGCAAGAGAAATAGATCTACACTAAGGAATCCAAGATAATCCCCTCTATGATGCCATTATCAGAGGCAACTCACATATTGGTGATAAAACAGGTGAAAGAGGGACAGGAAAAAAAACTGAGTTGAAAGGCTCATCAATGGATGACTCTTTGGGTGCAGTGTTCTGATTTAGTAACTGGAGGTAATGTCTGCAGATCGTAGCAACTACCTGAGATTTTCTTAAAAAACTATTCATAAATAGATACATAGAAAACTGTAAGAACCATCTGGACTTCCTGTGTACTTTCCCCAGTTTCTACTAATGGTCACCTCTTCCAAAACTATAAAACAGCTTGGAATCTAGAACATGCTTGGGCACATGACATCAAGAACTTTATAGCACATATCACAAGCATAGATCCGGAGGAAAGTTAGTCAGGACTCTAGCAATTTTGTTCCTGAGGAGTTCACAGTCCTCCTTCCAACCACCATTACCACTGGCAAACACAAATTTTCTCTGGGCCTCTATAATTTTGTCATTTTGGAAATGAAATCATTTAATGTGCCCTTTTGAGGTTAGCTTTTTATGGATCTCAATTCTATTTGCTAAAAATTTGTTAAGAAATTTATATTGCTCGTTTCTCAGAAAATTAGGAAACAACCTGCCTCAAGACCCAGTAATACCACTTTTGGGTATATATCCAAAAAAAGGCTTGATCGTGCCACAAGGACATAAGCTCGACTATGTTCATTGGAATGTTGTTTGACATAGCTAGAACATGGAAACAACCTAAAAGCCCCTCAGCTGAAGAATAGATACGAAAAATGTCATACATTTACAGAATCGAGTACTACACAGCAGAAAAAAAAATAACAACATCTTGAATTTTGCAGGAAAATGGAAGGAGCTAGAAAAAATTAAGTAAGGTAATCCAACAAAGAAAGATAATTGTCACATGTACTCACTCATAGGTGGTTTTTAAACATAAAGCAAAGAAAACCATCCTACATATCATAATCCCAGAGAACTTAGACAACAATGAGGTCACTAAGAGAGAATTACATAGATCTAATCTACATGGAAAGTAGAAAAAGATAGATCTCTTGAGTAAATTGGGAACATGTTGCTTTGAGGGAGGGTTGAAGGGTGGAGGGAAGAGACAGGGAGGCGAGCAGAAAAAAATGTAAAGCTCAATAAAAATCAATTAAGAAGAATTTTTATATTGCTCACTCCCCATTCCATCAGTCACTAATTCCCAAAGGCATTCCCTGAGAACCCTTTTGCAAGGAAAACTGGTTGAAGAGCTTCAGATCTTCAGTCTCCCTTCTGTCCTCCAAATTACACACCCCACTCTTATCCCCAGATCTTTAGTAGACCACCTGCTGTGTCCTCTCTTTCCTCTCTGTCCCCATTCCCAGGGGACTCAGAATATCCTAGTGAATGCCTGTTTTCCACCATTCTGTGACATGATCAGAATTCCATTTTAGCCCACTTCCATTCCTAGGTGTCAGTTTCTCAATATTTAGAAAAACGTTTTGCTTGGAACTGCCAGTGACCATACCTGGCACAATCTTAGAAGGATTCCCTACCAGGCAACCCAGAGCCTTCACAATATTCTAAATATCAAAAAGAAAAACAGAAACCAAGGAACACAGCACTTGTCCAGCAAAGACATGGCCAGATATCAAAACTTGAAGTACAGTCATCTGAAACCCAGATGCCTAAACAGCAGCATAAAAACAATCAGTTACAGCTAGAACAATATGTCTCCACTACAGATAAGCATCCTTACTATGATGCGAAACAGCTGAAGCACAAGACAAGGACTTTCCAATAGACTTTATGAATGTGTTAGAGGGCTTGAATAATAAATGAAAGACTTAACTTTGCCAGTATCTCTCAGAGTCAGACATGACTTACCAAGAGTTTTATCTACTTAGCCTGTTATTATTTCTGAAAAGTCAGCAAACAGTAAATACTCAAATGGATATATAGAATGTAAATAGGACCCTATATGTATGAAAGATCTAAAAGATATTAAGCAAGCAGATAGTATCTTATGGCGTGCATTCACCATATGTGAGGGAGTTGTAAATACATGGGCTTCAAGAAATAAGCTACTCCACTAGACTGACTTCTTGCAAAATGCTACTGCTGAATTAATACCAGATAATACAGAATTGACTTCATGATTTATTCAGTTTCAAGACATAGTCAGGAATAGGCTTTATCTTATATACATAACACAAGTCTGATCCCATATGGGTCTGCCAGGTCCTCTAGAACAAGGTAATGCATAAATCAATCAATTATTGATTGGAAATGTGCTGAGGGTCTTAGAATTAAAAAAAATCATGCCAAAGGCAAACGTTTCTAAAAGTGATTTTTCATCACATGGCAACAAAAAAAGAAAATTGTAGGAGATGTCCAATTTGTTCTTTATATAACAAAACACCACGGCCTGCAGGAAGTAACCAAAAGGCAACTCAAATTTAAGGAAGATTCAGTTTGAAAAAAGAAACTTCTTGATAAAGAGAAATGACAACTCATCCACAGAATTAACAATCCTACACTCTGCAAGGAAATCACACAATGCTTGCGGCAGGGTTCTTTTTCTGTCTTTTTAGGAAAATAAAGAAAATACCCATCTTTGAGACATCAAGAGACCTTTGACATCTAGACATCTGAAGAAGAAATGATAGCTATCCAGAAAAAAATCACCAAGCAAAGAAAAATCTGACATATGATACCAATATTCTCTGCTGGGTCAAATCTCACTGCTTAAAGATCCGTTTCTCCTTTCTTCTCAATATAATGATAGCCCAACTCACTTAAAAATAAAGCTAACTGTGGACCTGGACTTGCCTCTCCTTCTCTAAATCCAGGCTTGTTGTTAAAAGAAAAATCAGAGTTTATGGCTCATATCAGGAGAGCCACCTGGTTTGGGACAGAAGGAAAATAAAAATCTAGGGTAAGGTTATCAAAATTCTGCTTTCAAAATTCTACTTCTCCCCATACTTAATTTTTGTCATTATGTTACCCTTCTTTTAACATATGTCAATCAAAATTCATACTTTCTATCGTGATATGAATAATGTTTAAGTTTATCACAGTGACCAGTAGATTTTCCTGCAGTAATCTTGGAAGTTTTCATGAAGAAGATGGGGCCCCACAACAACAATTCCACCTGGATCATCTGTTGCAGTTCTGCTTATAGCACCACTTAAATATCAGCATTGAACTACAAACTGCTCAGGACTTGCTGAGCTGATCAGGCCGAACAGACTACTCTAACCAGAACTAGAGACAAGTTCTTAATTTTCCCATTATGCATAGACTGCACAACAAATGATAAAGCTACCTTTCTCAGAACTTGACAATTAACCAAAAATTCTTCTTTTCAGAATTCACTAAAGATACCATCACCCCAGAAAGCTGGAAGTAAGTTTAAGAATACTCAAGCGGTAGAGTGGGTGGGTTTTGGTTGTTCAATGCATTATGGATATTGGTCATTGTTTAGGAGTGTCGGTTACAGGGTATTATTAGTAATTGTCAGGAAAATGCTAAACAAAGGCAATTAGATTCAAGGTTCTTGTTTTGGAAAGCAACAGAGGGGGATATAGATATGAGTATAAATGGGTAGTTTATTGAATCTGGAAAGAAAATGTGAAGATACAGATATCATAAGATAAGAATGTAGATTATTGAATCTACTTTTAAAAAGCAACGACGAGTTTTCGACATTTTACACTGGAATATACTTTTGCATATTGTATATAAATGTTGTATATTGGTAAAAAATTGAGATCAATTTTATTAAAACATACTGTACATATGTTTCCAATCTTGTTCAAGGTATTATATTTATATATATATATATATATAGCGCATTTAAAAATATAGTGCAAACATCTAGTCCTTGAATGTTTTTACTAGCAACTGTTTAGACTAATAAGAAAATGCAGGTTAGCAATCAGTCACTTATTATAATCAAACTTGTAGTCATTTTAGGCATGTTTTCAAGGTCAAACAAAGATAAATTTTAGATAGACAGATCATCTTCAAAGACTCCAGAAAATTACAAATATGGCATTTAAGATGTTTCAGTAACATAGACTCTTTTTGTTTGTGACAATGAGAAATGTCTGCTCCTGGCAGCACCAATCTACTGTAGAGAAGACCATCATTATCACAGAAACTCTACATAAAGTTTACATTCTTTGTGACAAAAGTAATCTGCCGGGCAAGAAAACATCCTTGTCTCAACTGCTAACAGTATGCCGTCCTTATTGGACGAACAGGATGCAAAATAAAGTGACTATCAACTATTGTCAAGACAAGGAAGGACAGCCCATAAGAATATTCTGCTTCACACACACAAAAAAATCTATCAGATATGCTAGTCTGTTGGCTGAAGATGGATGCCCAGTGCTGCAGAAGAACTCTGGGTTTGGGCCAGCTGTTTCTGCCATTTTTCACAATTTGGAAATCCCTTGGTTGCACTACTTATTCAGTTAATAATATTTTCTTCTTGGGTCTCTGAGTGAGTTGAAGACAAGATAGCTATAGTTATAGTTTTTCTTGTTTAACAGGCACAGAAAGAAAGTTATGATAGACAGTAAATTAGGTACAAGACTTTGGACTCAACAAGATAGAATAGATAGAGAGTACTTTCTCTGAATTTTTGAAATGCAAATGGACTAGACATTGTTGAGTATTTATTGCCTGTATGTATATAGTTATTGTATTTCTTGTAAATAGGTTTTCTTATAGTAGTGATAGGCTTCTTTTTTATTTTAGACAAAAAAGAAATGTAGTGATGTTTCACTTATATTTTAATAAATAAAGCTTGCCTAATGATCAGAATGCAAAACAGGGACACTAGTCAGCCACATAGGCCAGACAATGGTGGAACATGCCTTTAACCCCAGCACTAGAGAAGAATACAAGGCAGGAAAGACTGGAACTTTCTCTCTTTCAGTCTGAGAATTTCACAGAGTTAAGAGCTCTCTAGTGCCTTGACTGTTTTGCTTTTCTGATCTTCAAGTTAAACCCCAGTACCTGTCTCTGGGTTTTTAAATAATCGTGTTACAGAAAGAAATGGTAATATTATGGTAGGAAGAAGTTGGCTGAACATACTGCATTCATACTGAGATATCTTGGGGCAGAGTGGGAGTGGGAACACAGAGGCCGGGATCAGCAACTGGGAAAATAAAACCGCAAGTCCCAGGATCAGTGACTTCAGCAAGATTCCGCCTCTCAAAAGATCCATAACCTCCCAAACAGAGTCACCAGCTGGGAACCAAGTGTTCACACACAGGCACCTGGAGCGGCTTCATCGTCTATCACAAAAGGCATCATGGACTTACATGAGCGCTCGAAACTCGAAGGCAGAGGTCTGAGAAGAGCATCTCCCACATGAACCTGGGATCCACATCATCTTCCGCTCTTCTCAGTCTCCCATAACCTGCAACAGAGTAGGAACATCAGAGGTGCACTGAGTGGTCCATGGGGTAGAGGGATGTTTGGAGCAGAGGTGACCACCAGGTACTATCCCTGTGCTCAGACAGAAGTCAGTTCAGCACATGTCATGGCTATCTGCTCACTAGAAATACATGTATCCTAGAGACGTTGAGAGATCCTCCCAAGGTGACAGTTAATAAATTGTCAGCTGAGACTGAAGTCCAAGCTCCCTTCACTCTTTCATGCCACCTTCAAGCAGCTGAATCCGTGTAACTACCAGTTTCAAGAGTAGGTGCAATTTGATTCCAGACTGCCTTGCCTCCTTCTTTAATGCTTGTTTAATGCTGTCATCCCATAATTAGTACCCAGAACAAGGCCTGACAGTAACGGGCACTCTAAATATTTGTTGAATGAGAATGTAATGGCAGGAGAAGACTCACCTGCGACTATTGCCTCAAATGGCAGAGACACTCAGACTCACTCATCTGACCCATCACTGCAGGGCTGTGGACTTACCCCAGTGGGCACACTTGCACAGCATGTGTGGTTCCATGCACAGGACCAAAACGAAACTGCTACATGTAAATGTTAGGTCTGACCCAAACAACTTTTGAAATATGGATAGCTACTGTGCAATCACAATTTTCTGTTACTTCCTGTTACTCTGCTTTCCCCCTCCGCTGCTAAAACTATTTGGCATCTATTCCAGGAATTAGTTTCTTAGTAGAAAGGCCAAGAAAGGTCTTGCAGACCACAAAAGCTTGCATCCCTGAGTTTCAAATATCTCACAGAGTGCAGCAACACGTTCTAGATCACAGGGAGTGAGGAAAGGCTAGAGGGTCACAAACACAAGGAGGCCCTGTGAAAGGTGAGCCACCGTTGTCCCTTGGCTTATTTAAAAGGAAAGGCAGAAGCTGGCACCGTGGTACAGGCCTGCAATCCCAGCACTCCTAAATAATGCGCTGTTTGTTACACTCTTCCCAGTTCTCAGGCTCCCTCTTTACACTGAAACAGAACACAAGCTGCAGCTTTTGCTTCCCCACTGTCCCCACCTCCTGTGCATTAACACCAGCAAGCATCCCCTCTCCCCCGCACATGCCCCTTTAACACACAAGTCAAACAGAGTAGTAAACAGACAACACACACCCACCATACTCCGAAAATATATAGAGGAAAGAGAAATCAAGGAACAAAACACCCATGCAACCCAGGAAAACTCAGAAATCATCCCAAAACCTGATACCTAGGTGTCAGCATAAGAACAGAATCAAAGGTGGTGGTGCGATCGTCCATGCGGTAACGGTTGTCATCTAGGAGCGGCTGGAGCGGCAGTGGCTGCCCGGAAGGGCGCGAGGCGATGCCAACTGACAACGGCCGTAGGGGAAAGGCAGAGGCAACAGAGCACCAAGATGGACTCGTCGACAGAAACAGCTGCCGCTTAGGTGACTGAGGAGAGAAGTGCCTTAGCACTCCAGGCTCCTTAAGTCTTCAAGTCCCATTCCCTGGCTTGCCAGCGTCTTTCGTTGGAATATACTTTGAGCATTCATGGTGATTCTCAATGTGAGGGCAGACTTCTGTCAGGCTCAGCACAGCATTTTCACTGACAAGTGAGCTTGGAGGATACATGTGCCATAATTTACATTGCCTAATTTACATTTACTGAAAAGATGTAGTCCAAACCAAAAAGGTTAAGTACACACATGAAAACACATGGAATAAATAATCTCATACTAGCAACACTAAAGAAGGGAGACACACACACCACAACCACCACCACCACCACCACCACCACCACCCACGATAACAACGGCATAAAAGGAACACCAACCATGGTCCTTTGATTTTTCTCAGTATTAATGGCCTCAATTTTCCAAATGAAAATAATTTGGGATTAAAAGAATAGAAATGAAAACAGGACCCATCCTTCTGCAGCATGTAATAAACACACCTCAACATCAAGGAGAGGCATTACCTCAAAGGGTTGGAAGAAGATATTTCAAGCAAATGTCCATACGAAGCAAGATGGTGTAGGCATTTCATTATCTAGCAAAATAGATTTCAAACCAAAATTAATCAAAACGAAGCAGAAAGACACTACATATTCATCAAAGGAAAAATCCACCAAGATGACATTTCAGTTCTTAACATCTATGCCCCAAGCAGAAGGACACCCCCTTTGTAAGAGAAACACTACTACAGCTAAAACCACACATTGACACTTATGCCCAAAAGTAGGAGACTTTGATACCCCACTATCAACAATGAATAGATCATCCAGAAAAAAACTTAATAGACAAATACTGGAACTAACAGACATTATAAACCAAATGAATCTAACAGATATTTACAGAATATTCCACACAAACACAAAACAATATATCTTCTTCTCAGCACCACATGAAACTGTCTCCAAAACAGACAACATACTTAGATACAAAGCAAGACTCAATAGATACAAAAAACTTTAAATAACCCCCTATATCCTATCATACCACAATGTACAGCTCTACATCAACAAAAACAAACGACAGAAAGCTCACAAATTCATGGAAATGGAACAACTCTCTAATCAATAAAAATGGATCAAGGTAGAAATAAAAAATTAAAACTTTCTAGAACTCAGTAAAAATAATATAAGATACACAAGCTTATATGACACAATGAAAGTGGTCCTAAAAGGAAATTTTATGGCTCTAAGTGCCTACATAAAAGAATTGCAGAGATCTCATACTAGCAGCTCAACAGCACACCTGAAAGATCTAGAACAAAAAGAAGTAGAAAAAGTAGGTGGTAAGAAATTATCAAAGTCAGGGCTAAAATGAATAAAATAAAAACAAATACAATACCAAGAGTCAATGAAACAAAAAGTTAGTTCTTTGAGAAAATCAACAAGAGAGACAAATCCTTATACAAACTAAAAGACTAAGACAGGATATCCAAATTAGTAAAATCAGAATATAAAAATGAGTTACAACAACAGACACTGAGGAAATCCAGAGAATCATAAGGATGTACCTTTCAAAACCTGTGGTCCATCTAATTGAAAAATCTAAAACAAATGGATAATTTTCTCTATAGTCATCACTCCCAAAGTCACATCAAGATCAGATAAACAATTTAAATACAACTACAATCCCTAGTGAAATAGAAGTAGGCCTTAAAAATCTCCACCCCAAAAAGCCCAAGGCCAGATGATTTTAGCAAAGAATTCTAAACAACTTTCAAGGAAGAGTTAACACCAATACTCCTCAAATTACTGACACAACAGAAACAGAAAGAATATTCTCTAATTAATTTTATGATGCCACATACACTGATATCCAAGTTATATAAAGACTCAACAAAGGAGGAGAATTACAGACCAATTTCCCTTATGAATATAGGTGTGAAATAACTCAATAAAATACTTGCAAGCTGAATCCAAGAACACATAAAAAGATCATCAACTACAATCAAGAAAGTTTTATCCCAAAAATGTAGGGATGATTCAATATACAAAAGTCAGTAATAAAGCACACCATATAAATAAGTTGGAAGAGAAAACCACATCATCATCTTATTAGATGCCAACAAAAAAGCCTTTAACAAAATCCAGCAGCCCTTCATGGTAAAAGTCCTAGAGAGATTAAGAAAACTGTGGTCATACCTAATCATAACAAAGCAATTTACAGAAAGCTTATAGCCAACATCAAATTAAATGGAGAGAACATTTTTTTCACATGAACCATCAAAGTGTCTTACTGGATGGCCAAAATTAAAACCTGCCAACTCCTAAGTGACCCACAGATTTATCCTAACAAATTATTGTTTTCATTAGGAATCATTAAATAAGGACTAGAAAATAGTCTCAGCGGTTAAGAGCACTTGCTACACGTCCAAAGGACCCCAGTTCAATTCCCAGTACTCACTTCATGCAACTGACAACCCCTGTAACTCAAAGTCCAAATCTCTCTTACCACAGCCTCCCTGTACACACACACACACACACACACACACACACACACACACACACACCAGGAAGGAGAGAGGGTGGTGCAGGAGAATTGTCTGTATTCTGTCAATCATATTTTAATAAAATGCTGATTGGCCAGGCAGGCAGTATAGGTGGGAAAGACAGACAGGAAGTAGAGGTGAAGAAAAGAGGCTGGGAGTATTCTAGCAAGCAGGAAGCTCCCTCTCCATTCCTGCCCAGGCCACCGAAGAGGCAACATGTGAGCTGCCACACTGAGCAAGGTACTGAGCCATAGATAATGATAATGGGTTAATATAAGTTACAAGGACTAATAAGAAGCCTGACCTAATGGGCCAATCAGCTTATAATCTTATGGAGTCCTGTGTGATTGATTTTCTTTGGGACTTGCCGGTTGTGGGGTACTGGGCGGGAACAGATACCCCAACAAGCTGGCCCACATGCTACTTATGGCGCCCACGTGGATAACTGAATCCACAGAAAGCCTGAGAAAGCTTGGGGAAGAATAGAGTAAAGCATGTTTTGTGGGTAGCAGCAGTTTCTCAGGTCTGCTCTGCTTGCTAGAGGCAAGCAAGCACTCTCATCTAAGGGAGGCGTCCTGACTCAGCTTCAGCTGCAAAACCTTGCAGCTCTTTTAAAAGATCCTGTTACAAAACACTTACATGGTGTTGACGAAAAGCTGAACGCATGCTTTTCGGTCTTCAGCCGTAGTAGGAAAAAAGCTGTGCTGTTTTAAAATGCCGACTTTCTGGGCTATCCTGCCAGGAAAAACTCTTGATTCTTTCAGGCAGGCAGTCCAACTGAGTGTGGTCTGTGAGCAGAATGCTTCAGCATGCTCGCTGGCAAGGGCCTTGAAACGCCATAGAGTTGTGGTAGTGAACACAGCTCTGGCTGGTATCTCAGCCATGAGGCTGGAAAGTACTTATACAAAAATTTTAGCCTCAGTCCAATAGAGTTATTGGTGTCACCATCCTCCTCCTCCATATCTTGTCCTACTGGAAAGTCATAGGACAGTGGTTTACATAAATTGTTGTGCTCTGTGAGGACAATGTCTTCTAATCTAGAGCAGCTGTTGATGTGTCTGCTTGAGGCTCATCTGAGGCGATGTCACTCTGGCATGAGTTCTCTTGACATTTTTGAAAGCAGCTATTAGAACATAATCTTCCTCTCTGCAAACAAAAGACTTTTCCATGTTGTGGTCCATGTTTTAAACTTTAAATGACTCGCCCTGTGAACGCTCCTAAATGTCCCACTCCACTGCCATTCCTCAAGTCTTCTTTGTAATCTGTGGCAGTCACCATGCTGTGATAATTCTGAAATTCTGCTATAACCTATGTGATTACCTTTGCACAATTTATGGCTGAACCAAACAGTGTTATAGAGGATGTGAGAGTACATGAAATCTGAGATTTCCTTCAAGAGATTACAAAAGAAAAGGTGTATATAAAACTCTGTAGCTTTGAGTTGACAATTGTTGAATGTAAGTGAGGAGTATAGTGAGGAACACAATAATTTTCTGTTACTTGTATATGTATCCAACATAGCAACAATAAAAGGACTGAAGCATACACTCTTGGGAAATAAATGTAATTACAATTAAAATTCATGCTCCAGAAGAAAGATGGGCTGGAGACAGTACATACCTTCTGATAACCATGAAACACATTCATTCATATTATTTAGAGAAGTCAAGTTATTTACTAGGTTCTTCTGTTTGTGTGTTGCTTTCATTGGTTAATGATTAAAGAAACAGCCTTGACTTAGTTGATAGAGCAAAACTTAGGTAGGCAGGAAAGACAGAACTGAATGCTGGGAGGAAGAAAGACGGAGTAGGAGAGATTCAACATGGAGCCACCAGAGACAGACATGCCGAATCTTTCCTGGTAAGCCACTGCCATGTGGCAAAACACAGATTAATAGAAATGGGTTGAACTGAGATGTAAGTTAGCCAATAAAAAGTTAGAGCTAATGGGCCAAACAGTGTTTTAATTAATACAATTTCTGTGTGGTTATTTCAGGTGTAAGCTAGCTGAGTGGCTGGGACAGACAAACAGGCCCTCTCCCCTACAACAAGGTCCTGGGGATACAGGCAAAGGAGGACAGATGCAGTGCTGACCTTTGTGAAGTCAACATAGGAGCCAAAGCACTCATCTTAAATGTAATAAGAAAGTTTATTCTGGATAGTTTATTAAGAGCTAGCATAGCCCTGGGAACACAGCGTTAGCTTACCCTAAACTCTGTTTTCTAAGATTGTCTTAGTTAGGGCTTCTATTATTGTGAAGTGGCACTATCACCATGGCAACTCAAAGAAAGGAAAATCTAATTAGGCCTGGGTTACAGTTTCAGAATTTAGTCCATTATCGTCATG